TTTTTGTTTATTAAATAAATATTTATTTAATTGATTCCACAATGTAATCAAAGAAGCTAAGACTAAAAATAATTTAGTTTATAGGAAAGTAAATCTCTTAACAATAAAATATTTACAATACTAACAGTCATAAAACATTATATATATATTATAATTAAATAATTTAATATTTCGTGTCGAAATAATAAAATGACTTCGATTTCTGGTAAAAAAAAATTTACACTGATTTTACCAGAAATTTTCATAGATTAAAGCAAAATTTTGTTTCGCTTAACTTTTTGACTTTCTGACTTTCTGCAGATGATTTGATTGCTCAGTTCGTTAATTTGGCTTTTACTGCTTAATTCATTTATAATGGAAACATCCTTTTTCACTTCGTATTTATGTTACATTGCGGATATAGGCGTAGACAATCTCTTTGATCCTGACCATCGCGTGCAGCTTGTATTAGCCGATAGAAGCGGATCACTGCCTCGTTTGTCTTAGTCACTGGCTCCAATTCATTAGAATCGCTGGTTTGTTGTAATTGAGACATGAAAGAAAAAGGATAACATTTAGTGAATTCGTAAGTTAATTAAGAGGAAATTCTTGTATAAAAGTAAGCATTTAAATTAATTTCAAAATTGATTAAATTGCTCCGGTTTGGTTTGGTTTGGTTTGGTTTGGCAGCGTTTAATTAGTTCTGTGCGCGCGTGCGATGCTCGAGGGTAGAAAGCCACCTAAAGATGTTTTGGTTAATTTGTTAATTAATTTTCCATCTGTGCTTTTCAAGTTCAATTTTTTCTTGAGTTCTGTTCAAGGATTATGCACACAATCAGGTACATTCAAGTTCATTGTAGCAAATACAAAATGCCAAAAATAGCCTTAAGTGTTTCATTAAAGTTCATATGTTTTCGATAAAAAATCAATACCAACATTAACACGAATATCTGATACGAGTATACTGCATATTATATTCTGTATATATTATGAAAATGAAAATTACTTTAAGTGGATGTGGGGCATGTTGATGACAGGGTACATTTTTTTGTTAAGAATTTGTAAAGGAAATGTTAAAATGATGAAATATTTTCTTTTGCAATTAACGAATTACAATGCAATGTAAGGGAAAACGAAGAATTTGAGAGTTTGTGCAGCGAATCATTTAAAATATAAAAAAATAATATATCATATAAATATATATCACATATTCATTCATATATGTGAATATAATATATCACACATATGAGTTTAGGAATGGTACAAATGCTTTCAGGAAAGTTGAGAATACAATAAATATGACGTGAGTTCAAAGCGCCCAAACGTGTTCAGGAAGGTGTAGAATATAATGAAATATGAAGTGAGGTCCAAGCGCGTATCACTAATGAAAACATAGAAAAATTAAACGAATTGCTAATGCAAATAGAGGGAATGGAAATCTTTCTATTATAGAGAAATTAAACAAATTGCGATTGCTAATATAAGAACGGCCATTATAGAATTGGGTAAAAAAAAACACAAATATGTTAAGCGTTTTATAAAACGGGTTGTAATTTTTTATAATCGATTAAACTCTTCATATATATAAATACATAGATATTTTATTCATAAAATTTAACTACAATAGAGAAAAAAATTTAAGAAAGAATAGTAAGTACAACCATATAATATATAGCAATATATTCACTGAATTTTTCATATAACATATGTATACAACGGCAAATAAATAGCATATCAAGATGCATATCAAGAGCAAGTCTATAGAATGAAGAGAATCAACAGAAAACGGTATATTGATGTAATATACGATGGATGTTACAGAAAATCTTGAACTCCTGTTGCTTAATATAAGTTTATATAGTGAAAAAAAAGTAAATGAGTATACAATTCGATAGAATTTGTTGAAAACGGTGGATTAAGTATAGAATATGAATGGGGTACTGGCCTTCAACAGAGCGAATTGCTGCAACTATTGCTGATTTTCTGCGCTGCTGAACCCAACTGAACACAAGACACTTTGATCTTTAAAAAAAAACTGTGAGTTGTTGAGACAATCTTAAAATTAGACAAAAATAGAAGTCCCGAAACAGAAACCTCTTTTTGACACAGGTTAAAGTCGGTGATTTAAAGAGAATATGACAAGAAATGTTATCAGCTGATTGCAGAAGATGAAGATGTTCTGTTTCTTTGAATGGACTTATTTTATTAACATGATAGTGCTAATAACATTAGTTTTGTTTTTAATAAGAAGGGATGCCATTTTTAGTTAAAGAGGAAGAATCAAGGGACGTCAACTTTTTTTAATAAAAAATTACGCCATTTTTAGTATAAGAGATCATTTCAGGTATGTCAACTTTTTTTTAATAAGAAATGAAGTTCTTCTTTAGTAGAAGAGAAAATATTACTCCAGGTATCACACCAGTAGCCACTCTTCATTTATAATTTCGGAATTAAGATATATTTTTCATATTAATTTATATATAATCTAAAAATATGTGGATATCAAAGAACTTTATCGCCAAATATAATTGTACATCATCTTTTCGATGAGTGTTGAATAATGCATTTGAGTATATAAACGTAATCGACATGGCATCTGTCTAGTTCAGGATAGATTTGATTAAATTATCACCATGATTCAAGAGATTATTTTACGCAGGGTGGACCATTGTATTGTCGTTACAATCTTAGCGCATTTAAAATCGTTGTTTAGTCTTCAATGAAAGTAAATATAATACATGGAGGCTTGCGGTTGATTAATATCTTGTGGAAGGTAAGCTATCAGCATATTTACCATATGCTGTAAATACATATGTAATGAGTATGTAACTATAAGCGTTGCAATCTTTTTCCCATCATTCGCGCTGGGGAGTCAAAAGTAGTTCCTTTGACTGTTTTTTTACGGTAATAACCTGTCAGTAAACCAATTCTATGACACACAATATCTATAAGGCATCTCAATGAGTGCCCTTTTAAGAGCGGTCAACTTGTTTACAGATATCTGCATATCATTGAACTTTCGTTTCTTGTATTTGTATTTCTATATTTAATAAATAAATATTGTTTGTTCAAATTGGCAATAATCATTTATTTATTATTTTTCTCACTTAGTCATTCGATTTTTTTTTTGATATTTTTCAATATAAGACTTACTGAAAGGTGTCATTCCCGCTGTAAGACATCATAGAGAAATTAAAAATATTTTGTTAAACATCATGTAGCATTTCATTTACGCTTGATGACGTCTTACAGTGTGCTGAGAGCCGTCATTGTTTAAGGTATTGAAGCATATCAATCACAAATTGTGGGACTATAAAAGGTAAAGTTGAAGGTATTCAATGAAGAAAACTCATTTCATTATTGTATTAAATTTTCCATTTTCCATTTTCCAAAAGCCGCGAATGCTTTGTTGAGCGCAAACATTGTGTTAGGCATTTGTAATGCTTCGCTGAATTGCTTTATCGATTTCGTCTCGATTGCAGAGTTAAAAACTGAAAATGTTGTCATTGTCATGGCTCATAAAGGTCTTACTTTTATCGCATTTCATCACTACACAATCTCACAGGTTGTTAACATGGTTTTGTGCAAATCTGGGAGCATGAATATAATAAACTTATTTGATACTTCTATTAATTTAATTTTTAATATTTATAAACAGTTTTGCATTTTGCAAAGGTAAAGGTGCAATTCTTTCATTTACGCTTAATGCATATGTCGTGTTTGCATACTCATATATTCAGATTGCAGTAAAGCATAATTTTCAGTACTAAAAATTAAAAAGCGTAAATTTGCGAAATTAATTTTGAAAGCCTTTTTTCAAAAGTTCATCATGACACAAAGCAAGTAAATTGCATTTCAGTACGATTTTTTGCTTTGGTGCAATGCGTTTAGTCAAGTGCAATAAGAAGTGCAACTGGAGTAACAGGAAAACTCACTTCGTTAGTGCATTTGTACTCCAAAAAGTGTCGTACGCTTTGGTCTGTCAAAAAAATGCGCTGACATAATTAGAGCAAGTTTCTTGGCTAATATCGCAAACTTCAAGACTGTCAAGAAAGTTTTCCAAACAGCTGGCGTTAGGAATTTCAGGTGTAATTACGAAGAACCAATGTTAATTTGTAGAGAGCATGGAGTAAAACATAAAAACTTTATAAATAATATTTTTTACTGAAAAAGTTACTTGAGCAAGTATACAATGTTGTTATTACTAAGAATGCAACGGTTAATAGTTGACAGAAATATGAAATGCGTAATTGTTTGGTTTCACTAAAATTTATATAAAATAATAAAAAATAAATTATTAGAGATTTTTAATTCTTTTGTTTTTATGAAATTTAATATATTTACGAAAATTTATAATTATCATAAAATATTAATAGTTATTCATTATGATGTCTGAACACCATGAAAATCTCACTAAAACAAGATAATAGTTTTGCGGTTTATATTAAGTTTTTCATTGTGGTAAGTTACAATAGTTTTATATATTGAATTCTTACGATTAATTTATATTATTAGGTTTTAAATTTCTTTAATTTTTCCTTATATTTTATATAACTATCCTAAAAAATATAAGTACACTTTTATACTATAGTTTAGGTATAACCTTATCTTATGAAATAAAACAACATATGAAAATATCAATCACGAACAGCTCAATTAGTTAAGAATGGGGTAGGGATAGAAGAATTTGGACTTAGACTTGAAATCTCTAATTGAAAATGCGACCATTTAGCCGAAATTTTGGTGACTGAAAAAGAGTAATATGGATCAATAGTTATTAATGCAATCAAGTCTCAACGGTTAACAACGAAAAATACTAGAGAAATTAAAGAGAATATCATAATATTATCTTATTTTTTAGATTGAAAAAAGAAGAATATGCAAAGAAAAGTACTTAGTTGTCCCAGTGGTAATCTGAAATGAACAAGATAAGTTTTGAGACAACCTATTTGCCTTATCTGATACCAAATAGCGGATACAGACCTATAATTAAAATCAATAAAATAATTATTTAAATTTAATGAAAAATAACTTGGGTATTTGAATATTCTAGTTGTCGTATTTGATGGAATAGGAACTCTATCAATACATTGATAGATTGAACAAAGTACAAAGTGTGAGTACTTTGAATCGACTTGCAGATATTGTAAAGATGAAGAGGAAGTAAGCGCCGTGGAGGCTTAACACTACGGTGTTCAAAACACAACGTATCAAGATAATCCGCCGATAAATGCTCCATTGGAATTACCTTAGAAATACCGCTGGTACCAATGAAGAAATTTGTGTAAGTCATATCTTCCATTTTGGTAAAATGTGAGGTCTACTGTCTCTGCTACAATTTTGGGCTATAGCACCTGGTGGTGAATACGCAACTCTACACCGAATGTGAACCAAAACTGAACATTCTTTCCGCGTAAGTTTAGGTATTAACCAAACTGCCACTATGGATCCAACTCCAAATGGTCAGTCCAGCCAAAGCCCATGATTCCCTTAGTACCAGATAACATACAACTCTGGTCAGTTAACGCAAGTGGGGCGGATCACCATGTACACTTCTTACACAAGTGCCGGACTGGCACCGGGGGATTTCAGTCACCTCTTACGAGTGGCAATCCTAACAAAGTACGAATTCTGTGTATCTGTAAAATCTGTGAATGAAAGATGCCCAGTACTGATGATTAAAGAAAAAAAGGCCGGTTGTGTTTAGTCTTTAGTTGAACAGAAGAATAAGCTTTGGTACTACTAAAATCAATCAACCAGGAAATAAATCAGGAATAAATCAGTTTCAAGTTTCCATTCCAAAAACAAAAATATGATTATTATTCGAATATAAATTAATTTTATAATAATAATGTATATTTACACACATAAAAGGAATTTAAAATTGTATTAAATTAACCAGTTTTCAAATTTCTCAAAAAATCATTTTCACCATAATTCTAGAGATGGTGGAACATTGTATTGTCGGTACAATCTTAACGCATTTAAAATCATTTTTTAGTCTTTAATGAAAGTAAATATAATACATGGTCTTTAATATCATATTAAAAATTAACAAAAAAATTGAATTAACCACGTTAAGTAAAATAAATAAAACACTTTTCTACGCATTTCACCAAATTGATTAATTTTCATACGAAATTGCATACAAAGAGTTAATATTGATAATGGCATTAATTTGCAGAAATTGTACTTTTGTGAATAATTAGTTTCGTAATCTTACTTTCCAAACAAACTCAACTTGAGGGCATACAATCGAAATTGCAATTGAAAATAATTCAACAAGTCCTTGTAATCTCAACCTAATTGCTTGCCTTGCCTTAAACCTTTGTATATTGCAATGATGTTAGAGCATACATAGGTCACATATGTGAGTATGCATAGCATTAAAGATTTTAATGAGCTTTTTTCTTTGACTACTTACCGACTCAGTTCTGCTGAAACGAAGTTACTGTGCGGACTGTAACGATCCGGATCCTTGTACATGCTGCAAACTAAACGTTCCTTGCACAGGTCATCGGTCACTCCAAGCTGTTCAACTATTTTGTCGATTTTCAACAAAATCGGACTGTAAAAGGGGTCATAATTCTTCGGCATCAAAGGCTATTTAGAGTTGCAGGGTAGAATTAAATAAAATTAGATTAATTTCTATGCTACTGCCTTTTTAGGGAAATAAAATTAAATTTTTTATAATAAGACTACAACACAAACCTGACCGTCCTGCACAAAAGGTTGATTCTCCAATATCTTCTGTTGTTGAGCTATAATACGTTGTTCCGCCTGTATCCGCAGTGCTTCTTTCACTTGTGCAGTAAGTTCCGGCTAAAATGACAGGAGGAAAAATAACATAAATACAATTCTATCTCTTTTGAAGTGAATGCAAATGTTACAAAGAATTTTCATTAAAAGAAGCAGATGAAATACATTAAATAAGCAAAATAAACTACAATAAAATTTTGTGAAATTTGTCTGCATGTCCTTAAAAAGATATTAAAAATTTAAACCTTTAACACTTTGTTTTTTAATAAAAAAAAAGTTTTGTTATTAAATAATTTCCTTTCTTATTTAAATTAAAAAATGTATTAATAAAATTATTACATTTAATCCTTAGGGCTTCAGGTGGATTAAAATTGCAAACCACAATTGTAAATTGATTGATATTAATTAATAATATTAAATGAAGAATGATTTTTATTTGTATATAAAAATTTTTATATCATTTTATTTAATAAATTTATGAAGTAATAAAATTATAATTCTGTTCTGTATGTGCTGTTCTGTGGAAGCTTTTTACCCAACATAATTGTATCTCATTATGAAATTCGGTTTAATTCAATTTACAGATAATTCGGTTGCCTATCATATATGACGGCCATTCTCGCATTATACAATTACAAATTAAATTGATTTCATATGAAATCCGACACAAATTACCATTAAAAGCATTGCCTATGAACGTGTAAAAGATATTTATATATTAACAGATAATTCTGCAATTTCCATGGAATTTGTAATTTCATTCCATTAGTTTTGGCATTTGAACTATTGATAATTGATTTCTGTTTAAAATCCTTTAGATAACTTATCGAATAATATTATAGAATTATTTGTTAACATAGCTTTTATATTAAGTTAAATACATATTTGCATGGATTCCTTTAATTTCATAATAATAATATTAGTTGGTATTTTTATATCTCTAATTTAATATAAAAACAATTTAATTTTATTTAGTTTTATTTTTAGAAAATATTAATAAAGAGGTTTTTCGAACAGTAGTGAACAACTACAACAACAAAAATTCATTTTATATTATATTAATTAATTAAATTTATAGCTGAAAATATAGCTGTTTCGAGTATTGCCAAATACCCACCATCAGTGGTCTTGGAAATAATTCTTGTATTTAATTATTCGTAAATAATTTTTTGAGACTGCAAGTAGCAGGAATCGAACTCATGTCCTGCCAAATTTGAAGCTCAGAGTCAGCGCACCTTAACCAACTGACCCAAAGCCGTACTTGACTTTTTACTTTTTTTTTCGCATATTTTTCTGGAAAATATTAACATTTAATTCATTTAATACTTAGTAATATTAATAATAATATTAATAATATAGACAGAGCAAATCAATTATTGCCTACTGGTCGATATTTGTATTATTCGAGTAATCAACTGGTTATTGATGATTGTACTTTTGAAAATATTTTATTTGATGTGTAAAGTGTATTATTAATGTATTATTTTTTTATATTAATATTTATTTTAGCAACATCTGTAAAATAAAAGACTATATCGTGAAGTATAGTTGAAATGAATCCATGACCTATATGCTCTAAGAATGCTAAGTACAAAATTAATATGCATAGTACTCTCTCTAGGACAATGAAACCTAAGCATTATTGTCATTTATTCCATCTGTCCTTGCATATATGCTAAGTACAAAATTATAATGCGGAGTACTGTCTCTTTGTCAATAAAAAGTACCTATTATTGTCATTTATTCTTTCTATCCTTCTATATGGCGTATAAGCATAGATATTAACAGAATAATGATACATTTCGGGGATTGAGAAAAGTTTTTTATAAGAGACGTGCTCCTCTGTAAGTACCTGAAGAGTACAAACTGTATGAACTTTATTAAGGTGCGAGTATTGTTAATATTTGGTGATTTAACATCCAAAACTTTCGCCAGTTTGGTTTTGTCGTGGAGGTAAAATGCTATTCTACAATGAAGAATGTGTGTACACCAGTTATCGAACCAAAAACCTTTAAGGAAGTTGTGGTATAGTAATTTATATTTAGAGAGCACTTAACACGCCAGGTTTACACAGGAATAAAAAAGTGTAGTAAGTAAAGTGTATATAAAATTGTGGAAATAAAGTTGATAATTTCAATCTTTATATTAAAAACTTTTAAATAAATGTCATTCCTAATATATTCACATTATTTTCAATATAATATTTATGTATTGAATATGTCTTAGTCTTAAAATCCTGGGTGGCTCATCATAATAAGATCAGTATGAAGATTGTTCCCATCAGATGGAATAACAACATCTACTAAAAGATAAACGATAATAATAAATATTATTTGAAAACTGATATTTATACTGATACTGATATTTATACAGCCAATCATTAGCTTTTTCCTTATTTGCTTTTTCTTTAAAATGAAAACGGAATAGTTTCACAAGGAATAGGTTGTATTCATCCATTTCTGTGGTCCTTGTCTTATAGACAGTCATGGTCACGCTAAATTTGAAATTGTTGTTTCTAATGCAAATTTAGAAATTCAAAATGAGAGAAAGAGAGAATTTTGATTTAAATTTTGTTACGGTGACGAGGCTTATTGTTCTTCGTTGTTGTTTTACAGTAATGTTCTTCGTTACAGTGTTGCTCAGTAATCAGAATTTGCTCCTGTTATTTTTTAAATGTAGGCGTGTTAATACTTTCTTAAATAATAGTAAAAAAAGAAAATTTGTAATTGTGATATCGCTTTACTGTGACTATTTGTCAAATAATTGTCTGTATAACATGATCCCATATGCATTTGATCTTTTTTTTAGTTTATATTCTATATAAAAAAGTATAACAACATACAACACATACAGTATTTCAACCGCAAATATACCTAAAAAGTCGACCATGTTTTGTGGCGGTAAACTGTTAAACAAGCTTCGTTTTTCTGACTGTGTGATAACTTATCACTGATAAGTTTATTATGAACATATTTTGTCGAACAATGAAGTTCTGAAAAGTTTTTT